AACTGAACTTAAAGAATCTAATTAACTACTTATGCTGCTTAGCAATTCCACTTTTGTTTAATTCTTGTCACCCAACAGGAACTGCTTAGATGGTTTACTACTGAGCAAATCCCCTAAAACATTGCAAATACATGACATTACTGCTACAGGTGCTATGGCGGTCCAATAAGGCCTCTCTCCTGGAAAGCTATTTTTGCTCCAGCTATCTGCGGCTCAGCTCTTCCATTCGCTATCGGACCTGACTCCTCAGTACGAAAGGGAGTGTTATAATGGAAGCAGGGAAATTATCTGCAGTAAAAGACACAGGAAGAAAAGCCCCAAAGCCCCAAAAACAATATTCCTAAAGATACTGTGATTTTGATGGCCATTGCAGAGTATATTAAAATAAGCATAAGAAATCAGCCCTTCAGAATGCTGTCAGCAGGGTTCAAATTAGGCCAGATCACACCAGGTCACAGGCCTAGATTCCGCCCCCCCGCATCTGCCATCTTGTTCTCCAAAATCTCAACTTTCACTTAGTCTTTTGGTCTCCTGATTGTGGAGAAAGCTTTTAAAATGTGAAATGCCTGAGTCTGCACAAAGTGAGTCTGAAAATCACTCAGAGGTCTGAGCTACCTGATTCTTCTTAATGGGGCATCAATGTAAGTGCCCAGGGATAATAGGTCAATATTGTTAACTCATCTACTGCTTATCAAAATAAGAAAGAAAGGAGAGGACAGATCATGTTATGAAGTGCTGCACAGTCTACACAGAATTAAATCATCTTGTTTTGGTGTCATGAGGGGGTGGCAGGTGGAAAAAAACCACTATTTTTTTTTGAGAAGCCAGAAGCCCAGAGGACACCTCAGCCCCAAAGGGGGGTGCCAATCCCATAGAACCCAAGCCAAGCTCCCCTTCCCCAGAGCAACAGGAACCTACTATGATTTGGTGGTTAGTGTGGGGCCAAGGGCATCTTCCCTGACTATAGTGGTTGTTGCTTCGCCTTCTGGAAGCTGCCTGCAGACTCAGGCAGACCCTAATGCAGTTATGCTCTGTCCATGTTTTCAAGCTTTTCTTTGCATACTAAAGGGCTAGTAACAACTTTTCAGAAGCCAGCTTAGATTTTGAAGTCATCACATGACTGCAGAAGCTAGGGCCTTTGCCTTTGTTGAGAACTGTGTATCCAAGCCTCCATATGAAGAGTCAAACCTGATCAGCTCAGCTGAGCACCTGTGATCATATTTTGAACATCTGCAGATTCTATGGTGAGTGGTGTGTCAGGCATTGAATTGTTGGCAGAGCATCACTGCCTTTTATCCCCAAATTGAGCCCTTATTTTCAGGTCAATGGTCTGTTACTGAGAGGCACCAAAATTGAAGTCCATGTGCAGTATAGCAAAACTTCATTTCTGTATGGGGCCTTTCATATAAACTATAATCCCAGAACAGTTTATAGAAGTAAATGGACTCAGCTAAAAAAAATAATTATTTCCAATATTTCTGCCTGTGTCACTGACAACTGAGAACTGAACTTAAATAATCTAATTAACTACTTTATGCTGCTTAGCAATTCCACTTTTGTTTACTCTTGTTCTCTCTCAGCTTCTCAGTACTTCAATGTTTGGGTCACAAATAATGCAGGGAAATGTTTAATTGCTTAAAAGCTACTGCTTCCACTTGAATTAAAAAAAATATATTATTTCATGGCACTACTTCTACTAGTCTTAGGGTTCTGTAAAAACTTGTTTTTACAAATTCTAAATTTTTGCTCAAATTTTACTTAAGTGCCCCCATTTATAGTAAGAGAAATAGAGGTCCAGGTTAGTGAGACAAGATACATTGTAAGCTGAAATGGAGATTTAATGAGATGCAGCAAAATAGGAGAAGCATTCCAGATGGTAGACACAGTAAGCAGGGGTAGTCAGCAGGCAGACTGTGGGCCAAATCCGGATCATCAGATGCTTTTGAACAGACCATGAAATCATTTTATTTACTTATTGTTATTATTGAGGTGTCAAATGTTTCTGTGGAGTCTGGACCTTGACCAAGAAATTTGGACCTTGACAAAAAATAATTTAACTACCTGCAGTAGATTATACCCTTACCCAACAGTGGAGTTTGGGTTCAGAAATAGAGGAGACAGTCTGTTTAACAGTGGTTTTAGTGGAGTTGTGTCCATTCGCACTAGACCTGCATTTTGGGCACAATCCATAGAATAAGCCTGAACAAACCCCATGAAGGATGTTTCAAGAATGAGATTCAATGGCAAGCTTTGTGTGCCTTATTTCCTGTGTTCCACACGAGCATGATCTATTTTATTTCCACCCACAACAGATCACCCTCTCCTTTCAAATTCTAATACATCCTTGCCTTCCTTAAAGTGAGGTCAAATCTTACTTCAAAATTAGGGTTTGTAAAAACAAAGTTAGAGCAACAGATCCATTTCCATGAATTTCCCCCTTCCCAACTGAAACAGTATTTTTAAATAATAATTTTCCTTTACAATGTTTGTAACCCAAACAAAACACCACTGAGCAAGCACATGAAGATCAGAAAGTGAAAATCAATTTTTCATTGCATAATCATTAAAAGAATGTTAATAAATCCTGAATTTTTAACACTTTCAGGATTTATTTGTAACACACAAGAAAAGCTTGGTTTTGACACTGCAGTTATATTTTGGAAGGCAACTCTGTAAGAGTGGGAATTTGTGGTTCCCTATGTTTCACTGAGCCCAAATCAAATGTGCTCAGTATAAAGTCATTCATAACTCCCAGCGCTACAACCTGGGAACGAAGCTGGGTGTTTTCCTGCTTGTGCATCATCAACAGCATGAGATTCTGTAGACCAACTTTTGCCTGCAGTGCCCCCTGGGCAACCTGATTAGCCTTTAGTAGGGCTGCACAGGTGTCACTGAGGGCAGAACTGGGCCTGCAGGGCCTTTAGTGCTGGCTCTGATGAAATTAACGGGAAAGCCCCAGCTTGATCTTCAGATCCCAGACTCTGGTTGTAGGGGTGGTGGTTACAAAAGTTATGCTTTTGCTACATGTAAGCTGAGCTCTTGTAACCTAGAATCACTGAGACACAATAATCAAGGAGTCCCACGGGGCCATTTTTACAGGGTCACTTTTCAGGGCAGAATCAGTTCGATAGTCCCCCTCCCAGCCGAATAAAATCAGTGCAGAGCACAGAAGGGGGGAAACCACGGGCAGAGAAGGCAGCAGCCGCCAGGGGGAATCAGGAAGCTGGGGAGGAAGAAGATAAAAAGCAAGAGGGAGCAAAGGAGAAACGGATGGGGAGGCAGGGTCAGGGAGGATCCTCATCCCGCTCCCTGTTGCTGGGGCTGCACCGCTGCAGGGAGGGGAGGCGAGGCAGCTGGTTCCCGTCCCCTTGCAGGCGGGCACAGCTGCATCCCCGGCGCGGTGTGCGCCGCCCCCCCAGCCCAGGCCTGCCTCCCTCTCCCTCCCAGGGCCCGGGACGGCTGCCGGGCGCGCTGCACGGGGCAGCCTGCTCGCGCGCTCCGCCCTGGGGCCACTCACTGAGCATCGCAGGCGGCGGCGGCTCCTGCTGCGGGCACAAGGCGGAATCCTGGGCTCGCGCTGTCACTGCGCCCGCCGGCGCGAGACGCCGCTCTCCGCAGCGCGCGCGCAGCCCGCGCCGCCTCCCTTGGCTGCCGCTGCTGCTACCTCCGTCTCCGCCGCGGCTCGAGGCAGCCGCTCCATGACTGACTGACACAGAGAGAGAGAGCTAGAGCGAGGAGGGCTGGGGCGGCGCCACGGCGCATGCGTGATGCACCCCCCCACACACACCAATGGGAGGCCCTCGCCGCGGCGCTCGGCTAGCGCTGCCTGGCGCCTTGAGCGGGCGAAGGGCAAAGGCCACGGGGCGACCGGGGCGGAAGCACGTGTGTGCGGGGACGCGGGGAGCCGCGGCCGGGTGAGGACGGAACCCGCGCGGGGGGCAACAGGTGTGAGTGAGCTGAGCCGGGGCTTGTGCCGCGCCGGGCTGGAGGAGCGGGGAACGGGCTGCGGCGCCGGAGCTGGCTCGGTTGTTCGGGGCGTGATCGGTGCGGTGCGAGCCCCAGCCCAGGAAGGGTCCCCGGGCGGGTGCCTGCATCGCGGGGTCTGGACATAGTGTCTCAGCGGCTTGTTGCGGGCGTGGTCTCAGGTGACTCTTGGGTGGGTCTGGCGCATGGCGGCAGCAGCAGCTGGCACTTACTCCGTGTGGGAGGTTGGACATAACTGAATCTGGTCCATTATTATCCGGTATGTAGTTAAATACCAGCCTCCTGGTTCACCTTTGGAGGGGTGGGTTCGGTTCAGATGGAGGCACTGGCAGTACTTACTTTGTAATGGAGGAAGGTGCCGGGGCTCAAGCAACTTTTGAACATTCATAACTGATGCAGCAAGGCCGGAGGTGAATGGGCTATATACTGCCAAGCCTAGAGGTGCCGAGGCTCAGACCTTGGGACAAATTAAGCATTGGATGTAGGGTCTGAGCCTGAGACGTGCTGGGCATGCGCAGCTTCCTGTACTTTACAGAGGAATGGTGGGTAGTTCAGTCCCTCTCATAAAAAAGCTCAGTTTGTGGTGTTGTCTTCCAAGTTTTCCTAGCTCTTGTTTGCCTGGTATCCAATGCTGTTTCCACTGATTTCAGTGGATTGGATCCTCAGTGACCAGACCTGGGTATCAAATCCAGGTCTCTTGTATTGTAAAGCTGAATGAACATAGGGCTAGCCCAAATAAGAGTCTGCTTTAATAGAGAGAAATAACCGTTAATTCTGATATCCTTAAATTCTTCAGGTTAATGTTTGTCAAGTGCATCTAATATTTTTGTGAATATTTGACATTTCAGATACAGTAGTGGTCTCTATGGCTGCAATTTACTCTGGAATTCACCTGAAGCTGAAAAGTGCAAAAACCTCTTGGGAAGACAAAATCAAATTAGCTCACTTTGCATGGATTTCCCATCAGTGCTTTCTTCCAAATAAAGAACAAGTATGTTTTCAAAAAAGATTTTGTTTTAATTGTCAAATACAGAAAAATGTATCAATCTGTTGCTGTGGAGACCAAGCTGATTCAGAGGAGGAATGATGCATTGCATTTGCCTCTAGGCACTGGTGCAAATACAGCTGTAATAGGGACTAACTGAAAGTTGTTGCTGCTGGTTGTGAAGTAGCCCAGTCTGTTTCCTAATAGGCTTTCATCTCCATCACAACAGTGACCACTAAGAGGCAGTTATATGGAAGTTTTGTTTAGTGGCTTCAGCAGAAAGGCCAAGTATAGAATGGGCTAAAGAATGAACTACCTTCTCACATCTAAAGATGGTCTTTTCAATTCAGGATTGGGACATGCTCGTGGGGCAGAGGGGGGAGAGATGCAGTGCCCATGCTATATTTGTTTTGTGGATAAATTGAAGACCTCTGTCTCCAGAGTTGTAAGGCTAGCATCTTTCATCACATCTCCTACATGGCCCCGCAAAGTCTTGCCAGCCTTCTCCTGATACTGGCTAAAATCACCATTCACCAGTCCAGGAGAGGGAAATTTCTCTGTGGCTGTGAGACCTGTTTCCTGGCACATTATCTGTGTGAATACGGGCAGCATGACCACTCACTCCTTGGATTCTTCCTTGGAGTAGTGGGTATTGTCCAGCACGTTCTCTGTGCGGTGTTCCTTTCTCACTACCATGTTTTGATCCCCTGTGACCTGTTTTTTGTGTGTTCCTTGTAAATAGTTGATTTCTGGGTCCTGTGGTTCTTCCTTTCACCTGAGAGGGGCAGACCTTACATCATTTGGTGGGCTTTGCTTGCTGATCCAGCTATCAAACCAGCTAGCATTTTAGTTGAGAACTGAGCAGAAGAAGGATCTGTACAAGTGTTTTTTTAAATTGTTATATAAATTGCTTTAAAACATGAAATTAACTTTTAATGGAATGATTAAATGAGCAACATTATACAATTTAATTGTATTTTAATGGTTTGTCTAAATTTCCTTTTTAAAGAAAACTAAAACTTTTAAAATGTTATTTCAAAGTATCTTCTTTAAGAACTTGGAAAAAAATTAAGAAAAATCTTATTTATTTCACATCTACGTACAAAAACGGAGCAGAAATTGAAGGCTTCCTCTTTACTCCTCCAGGAGACTTGGCTTCAGTGGCTTTGATAATTTTAAAAATTCTCTTCTTATTCCTCTCACAGAATTTAAAAACTCCATCGTCTTTGCTAACAGAGATTATTGTTTCCTTCAATGAGAGCTATTTGGTTTACAGTATGCGCTTCTTCCTTAACCGTAGTTGTAGGTCTGAAGGCTTTGTAAGAACTGTGAAGCTCCATAATGGTCAGCATAGAGCTTGCAATCTATGGACCTTGAAAGTTCAGTGCTGACTTATTATGACATTTATAATCCTTTATAGATCAGATGGGGCCTTTGGAGCTTGTAACTGTGTAGTGGTGATGGTGGAATTTACAAGATATTCAGGTTTGGTCTGTAGACCCTGTAGTACATGGACTATGTCTGTACACCTTGTAAGCAAAGTAGGCACTGCCCAAGGATTTTGTAAGCTCTACTGATAGCAAAGCTTCAGAGGTTTACAATATACATATATCCAGAGAGAGAGAGACTGAAAAAATAGGAATTCCAAAAAAGTTAAATCAGGCCTGTGCAATCATTCTATTTGGGGATCAAGATTTTAAATAAACTTGCAATCTTTAGGACAAGTTGTTTTTGCATTTTGGAAATTAGAACAATTTTTATAAAGTGAAAATCCACCAATTCTTTTTTTAAGTTCCCTCACTCAAAAATGTCCTCATTGATATAAAAATTTTATGTGAGAAATTTTCTCTGCTGGTTTAAGAGAAGCTGAAAGGAACCCAGCATTTTCACCCTTGAAATTAGCTTTACTATGAAGGTTAGAGTGCTAAGGGGGCCAAAATTGAGTTTAGAAAAACTGTGTTACAAATTTAAGCCCTGATCCTGCTTGGAGAACTGCATAGACCGACTCCTGCGTCCACATAGAGCTCGTTCTTCATGGGCATCTGTCCCCACAATTCTCAGGTGTGAAGTGGCTACTACAGTTCTGTAACTTTTTCCCATGGAGGTAAAGATGATCACCCACAGCTGTATATTTTTGTTTTTGTTTTAAATAACACAGGTATTACTTGATTGGGTGAGCCATGCATTGGTTTCATATTACAACAAGAAACTTGAACTGGAGGATGAAATTGTTGAGAAACTTTGGACATACCTGGATAACATTCTACATAGCAGAAAACTACAGAATCTCTTAAAGGATGGAAAGACAATCAACCTCAGTTTTTTGATTGCACAGGTAACTCAAACCATACTCTTTGTTAGGTGATGAATACCAGTGCAGTATGTGATACAATATATGATTCTTCCTTTTAGAGTGAGGTGTAATATGAAATAGTTATGGATAATTAGCTTACATTTTTAGGCCGTTGTATTTATTTTCTCTTCTATCCCCTCTGTTACAAGACAGCTGATATTTGTGGAGAACAAAGATTGAAAGCAACAACACTTCCCAATAACCTCATACTCAGATGATCTCTCACAGGTTTCCCCCTCCCCAAACCATCAGGGATGGAACAGAATTAAATGTTTTGGTTAGTAAGTAAAGACCCAAGTAGCCTAGATGACTTCATTCAGTCTACTCATGTGAGAGAGAGTTAAAGGCTTGCAAATATATATTAATACAGGAAACTCTGGGAGATCATGTGGCTGTTTTAGAGTACAAGTGGAATTATTTGCTTACTAATGGAGATCGTTGCTAAATAGGTTGTCCAATTTGGAATAAGGAAGGAATTTTCTCGCGCGCGCCCCCTCCCCCCTGTTGGCAGGGTCCTTGTTGGGATGGGGAGGGCATTTTGCCTTTCTTTTCTCTGCAGCACTAAGTAAGTTTCCTCACTGTTAGAATGAGGTGGACTATCCTGCATCATTATTGCTGCTGCTGTTATTCCTATTACAGTAATCAATCAGGAATGGGGCCTCGTGTTTGCATAGCAACTGACACATGCAAAGACACGGTCCCTACCTTGAAGAATTTGCTGTCTGAATACGATCAATTGTCTATGCCTGGGGTCAGGAATGACCGCTGGTGGGTCTATGTTCTTCCCATCTTCTGTTACTAATAATTGTTTAAGTGCTGTTGATGTGTCCAGCATATAGAAGATTATGTTGTTTGTTCCCCAATGACTTTTGTTTCTGTGTGCAAGGTTGATAGTGATGGGGTGTTTTTTGTTTTGTTTTTGTTTTTTTAAATCTTCAGGTCATAAATGAAAGGATATCAGAGTCCTGTGTTCAAAAATCCCACGGAAATGTTGGCACAGTGCTGAGTTGTTGCAGGGGCATCCTTTCCACTCCGCCTCTCTCCATCATTTATACAGCAAAATGTGAGCTGATGGTGAATCTCCTAAGCAAGCTCTCCTGGCTGGCCTGTCAATGGCTGACATCCGAAGATGCTGTGACCTCCCAGTTGTTTGATGTCCTACAGCTGACCTTTGCTCAGTACCTCCTGATTCAGAGGCAACAGATCAACCCAAATCGTGTGTTTGGGCAAGTGACCAGCCACTTGTTTCAACCATGTCTGCTCCTGAGGCATTTGCTTATGGCCAGAGCGTGGACACCAGCTGATGATGGCCGTGTACGTCAGCATCTGAGCCGGGAAATCCGAAACCAAGTAGAGGCTGTGCTGCAGGCTGGGATTTTCCAGCCTGAGCTCTTGTCCTCTTACAGAGAGGAGCTCCTGACAGAAAGGGAACCACAAGAGAAAAAGAAAAGGGCTCTTAAAACTATTCTGATGCCTGTCAATACAGTGCTGTCCAAGCTCCGTGATGCTAGCTTTTGTGAACCAACGCTCCAGGTGATCATAGTAGCAAATTCAGTACCTCTGCTTTATAAGCTCTTTTTGGACTCTTACTGTAAGGCAGAAAACCACGTGGTCTGTTTCCACATGTTCACCAGGCTTTTTGGCTGTCTAAGGATTTCTCACCTGCAGGAGATGCTCTCGCCAGTAGACTGGAGCACAGAACTGCTTGCTGTGGAACAGCTCCTGAACTTGGTGCTCAGCAACGATATCTATAACGTTGCCGCTGACCGGATCAGGCACAAAGAGACCCAATTCCAGTTTTACCACAAACTGGCAGAAATGTTGGTGAATCACTCACAGGCTTCCATCCCAGCTTGGTTTAGGTGTCTCAAGGCCTTGATTTCATTAAATCATTTAATTGTCGAGCCTGATCTGGATGACCTAGTGGCCTCCGCTTGGATTGATGCAGAGGTCTCTGAGCCACGTACAAAGAAGCCCCAGGAGACTCTCATAAATGCCATGTTTCAGACTTACACAAAGCTGCGACAGTTCCCTAAACTCTTTGAAGAGGTTCTGTCTGTGATCTGCCGTCCAGCTGCTGATGAGTTAAGGCTGCCGGTCTTGTCTGCTGGGCTGATGGAAAAACTTCGTGAATGCCTCCTCGAGCTGCCACCCAACCAGATTCTGGATATTTTGTTCCTCATACTGGAGAAGTGTCAGACTCTAATAATTCCTGATGTTAAAGATGACTCTGACATGGCACTGAAGCTGCTGTCTGTGAGCTCAGTACTGCACACTTTTCTGTTCAACATGAAGAGTTTGGATAATGTCACCCCATTACCTGTTGTCCTTCGCACTCAGAGTCTGTTGGACAAAATGCAGAGAGAGGTAATCCAGCCATTGCTGGACCTATTGAAGGATCACTGGGCAGAGGAAAATAAACCAGGGCTTTGGCTAGAGAAGGTCAGTGACTCTGCACTCCTCCTCGTCTACACGTGGGTGGAGCTTGACACTCTGCTTAGTATAAACTGCAGCAAATATGTGTCTCGGCTGGCTGGCGCAGCTGGTGGTGTTACTGACTGTGCTGCAGAGAGCTGGGACTTCTCAGCCCTTCTCCCTGGCGTGGATAGACAGTGTTGGAAGAGGGTAGTGAGACTCTCAAGTAATTTCTGCTCAGCTAGTAAATATTGCTTAGAACTGCTCATGCTTCAGAAAATAAAAAAGATCTTAATGCAAACCAGTTTTCAGACTGAGGCTGATCTTCACACTTTGCAGCATGCCGCAGCTTTCATCCTTCATTCTGGAAGATCAAGCATGAGCATGGAAGAGTCAGAACCTTGGAACGGCAACATTAGTGCAATAAATGCTCTCACCTACCCAGCTGCACACTGGTACCTTGTAGTCTCAAATCTAACAATCCTGGTTCCTCATCTTTCTCTGAAAGATGTAGAGTATGTGGCTGATGTGCTTCTGAAGATTTTATCATCAACTAAAGCTCCGGGAGTTTCCGCAGATCAGGATTCCTTCATCACAGCTGAAAAGGTTTCTAAAGCTTTGCTGCATAGTACTTTTCTTCCAGAAATTAAGGTGCTGCACTGTGCTTTTATAAGCCGCGTTATTCAGCAGTGCTCTAGTGTGCTGTGTTCTGCTACTCAGGGCGTTGCAGATCAGCCTATTCAACAGCTGTCTGCAGATAATATACCATGGCACGAGGAAGTCCTCTCATCTTGCAAAATGGTTGGCATGGTGGAAGCACAGGCAGAAAACAATCAATCAAAGGATGTAGCCTTCATTTGCTGGACAACAATGGAAAAAATTGCTCAACATATATTGTTGTTAACAAGGGCCGGTTCCACCATTACTTTGGAAGAAGACCAGATAGAAAACTTTTTGCATTTACTAGAGATTATTTCTGCATTGAAACTTGACAGTCTCTTTCCTTTAGACCATACTCGTTGTTTTCTCTTGCTGCTATCCTTGGTAGCCAATACCAGAGCTAACGTCTCTTGCAGTAAGTTGCTATCACTGAAGTTTCTAATTACCTGCTTCCGCCTCCTAACATGCCTACAGACTGGCAGAAGTGTCAATTCCATCTTTAAAGTTTTTCATGCCAGTGATGCTCTTGAGGCTGTCGTGACCGCCCTGTTTGCAGCCAGCAAGTGCTTTGCTGATGTTTTGACCACTCCCGACTGGGCAGAATTTCTCCAGGTGATCCAAACCTTTTTGGAATGCTTTCTTCAGATGATAGTTGAAAAGAGGCAGAGCCTGAAACTCAATTTGGAAAAGTTCACTTTTTTCCTAGCGAGCTGCAAACCATATGCTGATGCAGACAGAGGCAAGCCCTGGAACACTGCAGTCAATCAGCTGCTCCTAGTGCCACTAATCACACTCTGCCATGTTCTGACTCTGTACCTCCAGCAGCAGCCAGAGAAGAAACAGCAACTGACAGAAATGCTGTCTGCTTTGTTGAAGCCAACTGTCCTCCAGACGGGAACAGCCATCCAGCTCTGCCTTAGAAACCTCACCAAAGACCAGCCTTTGCCTTTGGCATTCATCCCATCTGTTACAACCCTACTGAAAGCAGATCTGAGCTACATGTCCACAGGTGGCTTTATGAAAATGGAAGGTGCACAACAAAATCCTAAAGATCCAGGAAAATATCGGGAGTATTCCCACACTGAACTGTACCAAAAGTTTTACACTCAGATACTGAGAGAGCTGACCTCTGCAGGAGGCCATCTCCAGTTCCTTCACTCTGCCTTGCAGTTTTTAACTGTTTTCTGCTCAGAAACAGATCTGTATCCTGGAGAAGAGACTGCTCTCACTGTGTTTCATGCTGTAAAAAACCTACTTGCTGGTAAAGAGCTTTTTTTTCTTTTCTTCAGCTCCTCTGTTAATTTTGGAATACAGGGGTGGGTAAAAGCATCCAAGAAGTTCTTAAGAAAGTCACTTAAGATATCCACTTATGCTAGCCCATCAGCAAATGAGTCCTATCTTTATTAACAAAAAAAAACAAAACAAAACAAAAAAGACAGGGAAGCTTTTAGAGGGAAACTGTTGTCATGACTGGGACGCAATGTCGACCTATCTTGATAGTGGTCTCATCTGGAAGGTCTTTGTGGATGTCAGCCATGTAGTTATTTTTTGTCTCCTTGTTTTCACAGAAATAGTTACTCATATGCCTAAGTGCTCTGTTTTTATGCAAAAAGTATGTATTTTGCGTATGCTAATACATGTTTTGTGTGTGCACATGTATGTTTTGTGACACAAATCCATCAAGGTTTGAAAATGTAGCCCTAAGCCCTTTTAAAAATGATACTACAGTGTTCTATAAATGATGGCCCAAGGCACTGAGAGACACCCCTGTAAAAATATTCTGATTAGGACCATTTCACCAAATGTGGTCAAACTTTTGGGGGCTGCTCTGAAGATGCATTTTTTGGTCTTATGTATCTGGTATAGCAGCTAGCACTGAAGGAGTTAATGGATCGGCTTAGTTAAATAACTCAGCACTTTTCATCTGAAGAGCTTAGAGGGCCTTACAGAGGTAATAAGTATCTCCATTTAAAGGTGAGGAAATTGAGGAACAGAAAGACGACTGGCCTGGTTTTCAGAGGTGCTGAGCACAATATACTCCAGGCAAAGTCCATGGTAGCTGTGGGTACTCAGCACCTCTCTGAAAGCCAGACCCTTTATCACCTGCACACAGTGAGCCAGTGACAGATTTGGGATTACGGGAGCCTGGTCTTCTGACTGCCAGTGTGATCTAACGACTATGCTATGTTGCCTCATTTAAAATATAACCTAAACTGACATTGCACATGTGCAGTGTAGTAGTATCAAAAAAACCTGGCAATGTTATTTTTGTCTTTGATGCCTGAAAGATTTGATTTAGTCTGTCTTACTACTACAGTGATCTTACAAATTTATATTACTCCCTAGTTGTTAGGGAGTCACAAATGCGCTTAATCCCTTACAGAGTAATTGTAGTACAATTCTGTGTGGAGAAGCCTTTTTGTAAATCTGTTTGTGAGCCTGGCTGAAGCTCTTGCTAGTTGAGTTGCAAATAGATTTTTATATAGTGTCTATGTATAATCTTCCTTATAGTCTGTCTCTTGTAGGCTGTGTATCTCAATTCTTTCCAGTTACAGAATTCACCATAGGAGGCAGTATGATGTAACTGTTAAAACAGGACTGGGAGTCAGGATTACCAAATTCTGACCCTGGCTCTTCTGTTGACTCCCTCTTAACATCTTTGTACTGCACTCTACTCATGTACAAAGCTGGTATCATATTTATTTGGTGCAGAGGCATAATTAATAGTGATAAAATGCTTTGAGATTCTCTGATGAAATGTGCTGTAGAAGTGCCAGGCTTTAAATAGATTAAAATTTTCTCCTCAGAAAATCTTGCTACAAATCCCAGGAGTTATTGCTACAATTGGGGTGTTTGTGGAGCAGCTAAATATGCTTGCAAAGTAAACTAAAATCTAAACTAGTCATAAATAATATAATCTTTGACTTAATATGTAGGAGACCTGGACACTGCTTAACAGAGATCTAAGCTTTGTCAATTAATGTTCATGTGTTGTGTGGCTCTCCTCCCAACACCCTGATATTCTGCAGCTTGTGATCAGCTTGTTCCCCTAGCTTGTGAACAAACCTCATTATAGTGTTTTCACAGAGTGAAGGCATTTAATCAAGATAATGACTGCGGGATAAACAGTAGGATGGGAATGTTCTGAATGACACGCTGCTGCTGTGGTAGGTGGGGGAAAGCAGTTCTGTGCGGGTGAACATTAAAAAGACTCACACAGAGAGAGCTCCTTTTCAAGGCTTGATTTTGAAAGGGTTTTTTATGGCAATTCCCAATGTGGATAAGCAATTCAGACGTATTTGTGTCTCTTGACTATGCAGGCCCTGGAACCACAGTCCAGGTGATTCAAGATCTAGAAATGCAGCTGACAGAATTGATGACCCAGCTCGTGGAGAGCTGCACTACTGAGGAGTTCTGTGTCATAATGAGGCTGGTGCTCCAAGGACTTGAAGTTAGCAATATTTGGAAACAAAATCCTAAAGTAGGGAACTTTTGGCTTATTTCTTATAATGTATTTTCTTTAGTTTTCTCTCCATAGCTTGAAGAACTGCAATAGAACATGGATGGTATCTGATAAAATTGGCAGGAAGAAAGACTAAAACAACACGAGGAAGAAATAGAAGTTTGGCTTTAAATGTGTTTCTATGTTAAGCTGCACATTCATAGTAACTTACATGGCAATAAAACTGGTGCATAGATACTGTGATGAAGAGTGCCCTAGAAATACCTGAGATCGATAGAATCTGCTGTGAAAAAGAGAGAAACTTGCTACCTATGAAGAAAGCTTTCAGTAGGATCCCCAGACATTTAGCCCTCTAATTCCCAGTAACAGGAGTCTCACATCAGTGAGTTCCTGTAGACAATGCTGAAAGTCAACTCCTATGTGTTAATTCTAACCTTACAAACTGGCCAAATAAAAGCTTTAATTTTGTTGCCTATTGTGTTATCCAGTAGAGTCCTCAGACTCCGCACCCAGAAAAAATTGTCTTTAATTATGTAGGTGATTACCAGGAAGCTGGTTCAGTCCATGAACTTCATTCATTCAAAACAAAGATTTGCCTAGTTCATTTAAAAGTTACATCTAGTGTGGTCTGTTCTTTGTAGTTGTAGGTGTAAATTGACACATACTAGTATATGTTTCTTGTACTGTGGGTGGTTCTTTGTTAATCACAGTTCTACTTAGCACTAACTGAGCACTTTTCATAGGCAAAGTGCTTTACAAACACAAACGTACTGATCATCACAAGACTGCTTTGAGGAGGAGGGTAAGTTAGTACAATTATTCCCATTTTTCAGATGGAGAAACTGAACCAAGACCAGACAAAAGGTTTTATCACTATAAACATTTCTCACTGTTGTTACCACCAAAGCTGTAGCATAGACAAGACACTTGCAGCCACTGGCATTTTAACCATTTTATTGTCCAAACCTACTCTGAACAGGGTCAGATGGCATGGTGCTTTTAAACACCAGCAGTTATGTGAAGCACTGATTATATTGGTGCTTCCACTATTCTATTCTATACAGGTTCCTATACAGTGCTCATTACTGTAGCATCTGAGCATCTTCCAATAGTTCATTAAGGGACACGAGTAACATCTATCACCAATGGAACTGAATTGGTAGTTGTAACATTGGGAAGAAATTTGGCAAACAAGCCTGGCATAGACCCCTCTTAGAAGGTTAAGTGACTTGGAACTCAGAGCCTTGCTAAAGCTCAGGAGTATCTGCCTCCCAGACCTGCCCATTTGGAAAAGGCATCTGTGTCATCTCTGTAGATTAATGTGCATTTAAAAAAAGAAATCTAACCTAGTCTTTCTACATTGTTCGTGTAACGCTAATCGCTGTAGGATATAGGCATTAAAATCCACGTGTTTTTGGACTGCAAGGCAAAATACATTCACGTTCTATGTTTTCCTCTTAGTTCTTATAAGCCAATATGTGATGACATGTTAGCTGGTAAAACATTATGCTGGTTACATGGCAGGCTCAAACTACGTTCACACTACCTCCCTCCATTATCTATAATGACTGCTACACGAGTTGATCTGCTTTTATTTTATCATGTTTTAATGTCATGATTTGCTTTTAAAATAGACATAGTACAGAATGCTAAGGTGATCATTGCTCAGCACAAATTCTGTTGAGCTGCTGCTAATGTTTCCACTGAGAGGTGCCATATTTCAAGTGAGCATATTTATCTTTTTGCAGTGATTGTTTATCCATTTTTTGCAGGAAGTATTGTCAGCTGTTACGCTAATCAAATTGCTGCTCAGTTGCCCATTAACTGGAGAGAAAGAGAAAGCTTTCTGGTTTACCAGCCCACAGATAATCACAGCTTTAGTTGTAAGTAACTCCCACAGTATAAGTTACCTATCACTTTTGTTTGACAGAACCTGTAGCTATTGTCTGAAATATACACAGAAATATATTCTAAAAAATTCTACATTTGACATCAGTTTGACTAGGCTCCATTTACGCTGTTTGGCCCAAATTTCCCCAAGTATATCCCTGTATATTGGCATGGCACAAATGCTCATTCATTAACATCACCATTACTTTGGAGCTGCACTGCATTGTGTAGGGGTTGAGAGTGTCTCACTAGGCTATATGGAGAGGTTTAGAGAGTTGCCTCTCCCCAGGTCTGGGCAATGCTTGTTCTGATCCAGAGGAGGAGGAAAATGTTAGTTTGGCCTTACAGCAAAGCAAAAAGCCAACAAATAAAGAAGAGCCTATAAAAATGATTGAATAAGTGAAGGAAAATAATTAAATCAGATTCCTTACCTGTGTTGTGCTGCACCCAAATGTAGTGGTGTTGGTGCTTGCCATCATGATGTCTAACCCTCTGGGACCAGAGATTGTCTGGCAGTGGCTTGGGGTGGCTGGGAATCTACTGTCATGGCATCTACAATGCCTGTGAGAGCATTTCTCCTGTCCTTTGTGGTAGGTGAATCAATGCTTGTGAAGGACAGAAATATCCACTGGAACAGTGTAAAAACATGAACAGGTGCAAATGGACCCTGTATACCATATTTTGTATGCATCTTCTCTATGGGATTGTGGGATAGATGCAACAATGCACAGGCCCTGCAGTGCTTTCAGGGAATGCTGTGTGTGGATATGTTGCATGGCATGCGCCTAAAACAGATTGATTCATATGGATGAGGCTTTATGCAGTTGCAGTTTGCGCCAGTGTACTCCTGTTGGTCCAAGTTGCAAAAGTACAGTTATCTAGTGTGGAAGAAGGGGGTGTTTGGAGACAGCCAAATTCTTTGTTGTTGTTGATTTCACTTTCACGTGTAGATACAAACCAAAGAGGCTTGTCAGGACCAGTTGCTGATTCCCACCATTGTTGTTCCTATCCTGGAGACAGTAGCAGCCCTGCTGAGGCAAGGAGAAGAGATTCTCTCCAATCCCCATCATGTGACACTGGCATTCAGCATTCTTCTGACTGTCCCTCTGGATCATTTGAAGATGGAGGAGTATGGGAGCATCTTCCTGGGAATTCATGAAGTGCTGTTCTCCATACTGCAGTGTCACCCTAAGGTGAAGGGCTGAAGGGTGGGGAAGGGCCGGTGATCAGAAATTTTAAGAAGCCAATCCCTGACCTGTGTCCAGTAGGTTGAAAACATGTAGAGGTTCTGAAATTATAACCGATATTTGGAAGCAGATTATCACAAAACCTCTAAAGTTAGATTAGGGCAAAGTTTTCAAAAGTGCCTAAGTTCCATATTAAAAAAATGATATAGGCACTTAGCCTAAGTCTCTTTGTAGATCAATAGGACTTAAGCACCTGGCTGTGTAAATCACTTTTGAAAATTTTCCTTCTAGTGCCTATGTCAGCTGAAAGCTGATTTTTCCAAACTGTTTTCAGCTGAATAAGTGTGTTGGTCCTTAAATCTCTGGTCCCTTGGGCAAGCACTGGTTCTGTACAGATGGCAGTAAATGCCCCAGGCATTAGACTAGCATAACTTTCAACCTCTGCTTTGTGGATGTGGGGTTACTTTGAGATGATTATAATTATTTGTATTAACCATAGCACCTTCGAGCCCTAGTCGGGTACCAGGACCCCATTGTGCCAGCAGCGGTAGAAACTGAACAAAAAGACAGTTCCTTCCCTGGGGAGCTTACAGTCGATGTATCTTCCTTTAAAGCACATAAATCCACTCTTATTTTGGGGTGTTGAATGTCGTGCTGCTCTAATAAAGGAACCATCCTCAAAGCCTTTTTTCTGTACTGCATTAGGTATTATCTGATCCTCTTTCATTTGATGTTCTTGCAGGTGATGCTAAAAGCAGCGCCATCTTTCCTGAACAGCTTCAATAGGCTGGTTGTTTCTGTTATGCACGAGGGGCGACAGAAAGGAGACAGAGGTGCTGTGTCATCATTTTCATTAACATACCTGACTCTGATTGGGTGCAATGCACAGGACAGGGCAGGCTGTGTGTAACGTTAGAGGTTGAAACAAAGTCCCAGGGCCAGATCGTGGCTTTTGAGCCACTGGCCACATAGGCAGAAGTGAGGATGAGCCACATAGCAATCTGCACTCTGACGCTCTTTCCAGGCTTCATCCTGGGAGACTAGCATAGTGCTTCCATTCCAAACTGTGACCCTGGCTAACGCAACACAGACAAGGGCAAGGCTCCTTGTACTGTATTTCGGTTCTTCTCCCCCACCTTTGCATTCTCACTCAAACAGCCACAGTAGCCCCATTGTATAAGGTCAGTGATGGTTTTAGGAAAAGCATGTTTTTTCTGGTGTGATGGCTCCAAATGCTGATGACTTACACTAGCGCACTTGGGAGAGGGCTTTATAGATGTGCTACTAAACGGAGCCCTGGGTTGCAGATGTTAGACATGCTCCAGACTACATGTTCATCACTGTGTGTTAGATACAAAACCAAAATCTTGTAAATGTTTAAAGTGTTAGTTGGGATTTACTTATCTGACTCCATTAATTCACGTGGCTAAAACCAAGTTCACTGCTTTGAAATTTACCCCACTTTGTGTGTGTGTGTGTGTGTGTGTTATAACCAGGTATATGCAATAGGCAAGTGTACACTAAGATATTCCAAAGGGGAGAGAGGAATGTTACATTGGTGCACCTATGGCGTAAAAGCAGAGTTTATACGTTTCAGTAATATCCACATTTTCCAAGGAGAAGAATCAGTGGAAAGCTATAGGTTCAGGAAATCCTGTGATTTAGATTCACTTGGTCTATCCCTGCAGAATTACTGTATTTTAATAATAAAAAACAAGACACATGCCTAGATTTCCCCCTACTTTCCTCCCTAATTTCTATTAAGTTATCTCATTGCCTTCCAGTGAAGGATTGTTCCCTAAAATTAAAGTCCTCTGTCCCATCTAGTTTTTAATGTTTCCAGTGATGGTGCTTCTCTTCGGGGACTGTTCCATGTAATAGGTCTCATTATCAAGAAGCTGCTTCTTGATATAGTATTCTGTAAGTGGTACTTAAAAAAAATTCTGATGTTTTTGCTCTTTTTCCCGTTAACTGGGCAGAGGGCTGGAACGTGGGAGGTACTTTACCCGCCCTTCTCTCTGCTTGAATTCATGTAATATTCTAGTGTATGGTGGAGTTGAAACAGCCTTATGCCTTTATTCTTACAACATTGCCCTTGAAAGAGAGTCTATAAAATGTTGTTGTACAGGATTGTTCATTTCCATAAGGGCATAGTTTCTTTTAAACTAACAACTAGCCAGCCATGGTTTCATATTTTGGATTTGCCAAAAAATGCATGTTGGTAAATCCAAAGTATGAAACCATGGCTGGCTAGTTGTTGGTTTTATTTGACGTTTGTTTTTTGGGGTGTGTGTTTTGTATAGCAATTTTTTTAATCTCTGATTTTGAACCACAATTTGATTTCTGTTTTAGGGAGCACGGATGAGTTTGGAGTTGTATTGAAATGTGCACACTTGGTAGAAAGGATGTATAGTCACATTGCTGCAAAAACAGAGGAGTTCACAGTGTTTTCTGTCTTCATAGTGGCCCAATACGTGATTGAACTGCAGAAGGTAATATACACTCATCCACCTTAAAGTCATTATAAGGTTCAGGTTGAGATTCACTTACTGTTTAAAAGACAACTATTTTAAATTTTCTAAAATCCACATGCTGACTTGGATGTCTTGAAATTTGCTGTACCTCCTAGGGATGCAGAGTAGGACTAGTGGTCCAGATTTGTTGTCATTTGAGCAAAGGTTCCTGAGATGATATACCCCTTTAAAAAAATTATTTTTACAAAATCACCTGGTTCTTCTGGTGTGGTGGTTTTTTGTGTTTTTTTTGTTTTTGTTTTTGCTCCTGGGGCTCAAACCATGGTTCCAATTCTCCCCAACTTGATCTCAGCTGCTTGGAATTATCTTGGCTTGTACGTGACACAACTGCCCCTTTGGGGAAGTGATATTGAAAAAGTTAGAGGATAAAGTTTACTACTCCAGGCCAGGTTGAGCTTTCTGATGAACCAAAGAGAGAGTGATAGCCACATGGGCATGTGCAGCAAGACTAGGGCTCTGTTGTAGTCAGAGTTTGTAGGCAGCCTGTTCTCACAGATGGTGAGTGGTGAAAGGTGACATGCTGTGGTCATTAAACCTGAGGACACCCATGCACTGAGTTTGAGCCCTACCCTTGGCAGTTATCCGAGATTGTGTTTGCACAGCTTATGTCTTGCTCTCTGCCTGCATTCTGTAGGAGTTTCTCTTGGGCGTTTTACCCTCAGACTAAAACATTGGTTTGAGAGTGATAATTTAGTGCTCTAAAATCTATAACCAGGCTCTAATCTTTAGAAGTACTGCCAAGAATTTGGCATTAATTAAACAGAGGAAAGTCTTGTAAGCAGTTTGGATGGTTACATCCTCCTCAAACATTTCCTGAACAATGGAACTGAGTGAGTACAAAGGAAAGCAAGTGTTAAAGGTCATTTGATCAAGGGGTTCCTGATCTGCAGCTTCCCCGCTCTCTGCTTTGCCAGCCTTCACCCCTTAGGACTGTGCACTACAGCTCCTGAGGGCCCAGCGCACTCCTAGATGACATCCATTATTAGTGGAAGGGATCAGCCAAACACTGTTTGAAAGCCCAGTTTTACTAGAGCTTTGACTAGTAACTGGGTTTCTAAAAAAGTAGCTTTTCTATAATACTGCAGTGAACAAGGGATCATCCTCAAAAGAGACTTTGTTCTCTGGGGGCTCAGAAGTGCAGACAGAGCAGAACCAGAAAGGGGGGAAACTGGGTACTTTCCCCTCCAGGGACATGCTTGGGGAGAAGGGAAATGGAGCCATCTGTGCCCTTCTCCCACCCCCTTCAAATTCCTTCATCCCTCTCAGTTCCTCCTGTGAGTCCCTCACAGACTCTGGGGTTCCCCTTCCTTCCACTCCTCCACAGTCAGAGGAAGGAATCCAGAGCTCCCCTCCTTCCCCATGTTGCCTCCAGCAGTGGGGAAGGGTCCTGAAGCTCCCCCTCCCCCAACATACACCACACCACAAATGCAATGCTGGTAGGGGAAAAGGGGAAGTCAGGGCAGGAGAGGGCGGGGAGGAAGGGAGGGGTCCAAACTGTGCAGTAGGGGAGACTTCAAATTTGCCTCCCCCTAACTTCCCTGCATCCATACCTCCCTTCAGAACTTGCCCCCACAGTGCTGAGACCGGGATGGGGAGCTGGGAATGAACATGTTCAGTGCCTGGCACAGGCACACTGTGCCAGGATGGGGTGAGATGCTGAGAACACACATGCTTAGTCTGTTGTATGCACACACACCATGTCTGCACTATGGGGACTATAGCAGCATCACTACAGCGCTGTAGCTGTGCCGGTGTACCCCGTAATGTTCAATGTAGCCTACAGCCATGGGGGGGTGGGGGTGAGGGAGGGGTCATGAAAGGCAATTTGGTGGGGGGAGAGGGGTGTTAAAATTTTATTACAATCTAAATCAAACAAACAATCTCACTCTGTTGTTCCCTGTACGCCCTTAATCTTGAAGGTGAGGTATTCCTTGTCAGACAGACAGGCTTCTATCATTATTACTATTGATACTTTTTTTTACCCTTGTAGTAAATTTAAAATCAGGCGTGTCACCAAAGAAGTTTGACTTAGAATAAATGGTCGCCAATCTGATCAGATTGAAAAACAATGCTCCACAAGGTGGTTGTTCACTTATTTCCCCATAAATAAAAGCCAGTTTATCATAAAGACCTTTAAGAATATTGTTTACAATCTGCAACTCTGCCAGACCACAGGGAAGCTCCCCATCAGGTATGACCACCAGCCTCAGTAACACTGCCGTCAAACATTTCCTTCACCCTTGTTTTGGGCTCTGTGTCCCTGGGTAACGAATCTTCAACTAGCAGTGCTTCCTTCAAGGGTGATTGCCCTCAAAGATAGAGAGGGGTTGACTTTTCATCTATTGGCCCCCTCATCCAACACCAAATCATATGGAAGGTCATTCCCCACTTCTACTGAAAGCAAATATTCTTGCTCTTGCATAGTCAAAAAGACATCTACAATGGAGTAGCGCCTTGCAGCCAGACTTAATTTCTGAATTACTAATTTGTTCCAGGTTAGCCAATTTGGATTTCATTGAACACTGCCTGTGTCCATCAAAACCTGCAAAATCCTCTTGTAATTAATTTGTGCTAGTGATCGGGTTTTACATGTCTCCCTGTCCTAGGTTAAAACCTCAACTGGGCCTTTTTCCTTTCTGTGCAGGACACACAGCTGCTCCATATCCTGCCTACTTACCCTAATTACTGATGTCCTGGTTATTGAATTTGCCCCAGCTAAGGCTCTAGAGAGTTCTAGTGCTAAGGGCTGCCTCGCAGCAAAATCTTTCCAAGGATTGCATTGTGTACTAGCTTCTCTGGGCCTGATCCATTGATATTCAGGTACCTTTCTGCACTCGCCCAGCCCAGCGGGTTTGTCTTGCTGTCCTTGGCTGCTGTTCAAATATCCAAATCCTATCAGCCATCTGGAGCAACTGCTGTAGGATCAAAAATCTCCACAGTTGTTGTCTGGCTTAATCTGTACAGATTGCTGGGTGCCTCGCTGGGCTGCATCTCACGTGAGCAGAACTTCAGGCTGTCTCTAGACTGACATCATACTTGCAAAGTACTGCTGCATTTTAACACTATGATAATCTTTGAGTATCAGCTACTGAGAGTGCCACCTGTGCTGCCCGAACCTTCAGTTGGCTGAACAGACTATTTTGTTCTTAGCTACCCACATAATTCGTCCACCCTTTCAAGTAATGTTCAGTATGATCAGTTTCCTCAAGCTCCTGCAGCCAGAGCCCTTCCCAGCAATAAGTTGGATATGGGTGAAGGACAGGTGTTACTGGAAGTAGTGCCATAGGGAACTCCCAATGGGGATAACTTTGGTGTTAACAAATCCAGCTGCTCCTGTCTTTTTTTTTTTCCCCAGTAGAACTAACTGTAAGACCTCTTGAGACTATCGCTAAAGGGTGCGGTGTAACCATATGTCTAACTAGTTTATTTATTATGATAAATAACTGCACAAATTTTGGTTTGGGGATTCATATGTTAATTGAATAATTGAGCATAAGGAGGAGAGTTAATGAATTGGTGGGACACTTACTGAATTGGTGACACAGTTTTTTGTTTTTGTTTTTTTTAAAAGAGGATCAATTTCAAAGGGGGAAGGGGCTGGGCCTATACCTGCTAGAAAGCACTTGTGACCTCTGTTCTTTCAGAGCAGCCTAAGGGAGGAGAAACCCCTTTTCAAGGTAGATTTTTACAAAGGCTGCACACAGTTTTACTCTCTCAATCATAAAGGACAGTTTCCCTTGATGAAAAATTTAGTTTATCAATATTTATCACAACAAATGTAGACCCTTAATTATTCTGAAATAAACCTAGAAAACGCTGTCGTTAGCCCTGGGTACATCTGCAGCCTCTTCCATATGCTTGATCTCGCCTTTCACGTGTTCTCTGAGCTGTAGCATAATTCAGCAAAGGTGAAATAACTCTTCACACACTTAGCCATCCCCCATCAAGAGCTCTGTAATGCAAATTGGTCTTGCTAACTATATAGACCATTAAAGGTTTATAGGTCGAATTAACTGCCAGCCCACAGTGGCAGCTGTTTAAATCTCATAAGGTTTTTAGACAGTGATTAGTGGGAACTGCATTGTAAAGTAAAGACAGTCAAGAGGGTTTGGGGCCAAATTCAGATGTGGTGTAACTCCACTGCAGATGCATCTGCTTACACCAGGTATGAACTTGACCCAAGTTCTCCATTATAGTGGCATTTCATACTGTTCCTTCTATTACTTTTATTACTTGCCTCAGGAAGAGAGGAAAATTCTGAGTTTTAATGAGAGCCTCTCATGCAGTTTTCATTATACTTGCAGTGCAGAAGCACAGGTCTAGAGGCACCAAGTTAATTTTGGTATTCAGCAGAGATAAGACCTGTTTCTGTGGCAAGAACAGCATGATCAGCTTCAGAGGCCACCTGAACCTAAGGCAGTAAAATGTTCAGTGAGTGGGTTATAATCACAGGATGTGTTCCAGTTTGCCTAGAGCCCCAAAACACTCCAAAGTCAGCCTTGATGAGCTTTGTTATGGGGATTATGGCAGTTTTGGGAAGACAGCGTGTCTAGTGATCAGCAAGGGACTGAGTTAGCAGTTTTAGGTTGTATTCCCAGCTCCGCCATTAGCTTGCTGTATGACTTTAGGCAAGTCTTTTTTAATTTCTCTGTGCCTAGGGTTAAAATGGGTCAAGTAAACCCACACCTCAGAGGGTGTTCTTTAAGACTTCGGTAATTAATGCTTGTAAAGCAAATAGAAATTCTTGGATAAAAATTGCTAGATAAATGCATTTATTAAAGTGGAAGAGGCAAAACAAACTCTACATTTTAGATGTAGGCTCACAGAAGGACTTGTCCCGAACTGAGATTTCAGTCTGCAGCTAATATGTTGGCTATTGTTCCATCTCCTGAATATGAAAGAGGTATAGTAAAAAGCTGCTGAAAAATCTATTCCAGGATAGGTATCTTAGAATATTTTACTGTAGATTTTTTTTTTGGGGATGATTTCAAATTCTCCCAAGTATAACAGAGTCTTTACCTGAACACTCAGCACCAGTGCAAATCTCAATATACAGGATTATACATTACTGCTGTGTTTTCAATCAGGTTTACAAAATTGGGGAGCTAATTTATTATCTAATATTTTACACTGTGTTTAACAGACCATTCTAGATGGGCTGATACCTTGGATTGTATCTTGCCAGTACTTTTATTTCCAGTCACTTGACGTATACTAACTATGGAAAGTAAAAAGTTTCATGGGATTTTGTTCATCTCCTAGGTGACCTTACATCCAGCTGTAAAGAAACATCTAACTGAGGGAATGTATCACATCCTAGACCTTTGCATTGAACGAGATATCAAGTTCTTAAATGCATCGCTACAGATGGGCGTAAGAGAAGTCTTTAAGGAATTGTACAATGATTATACCCACTACCACAAAACTAAAAAACATGGGGAGAAAAAGTACACTGCGTGATGTATCCTTCCTAACATTTGCATAATCAGTAAGGACTTGATCTTGTGTGGAGCTGAGAAACCTCAGCTCTGATTGAGTTCAGGATGATCAACACATTACAGGATCATGCCCTCAGTTGTTTTGTTAAAAGTGAAATATTGAATGATATGTCCCTGTATAACTGGCCTCTACATCTATGGTAGGAAAAAGACACACTTAGGCTTTCAGCCCTGCTGCAATTGTGCAGAGCCCCATTTAAATCTCTCTCTGCAGTCTATATATGTGCTACTTGTTGCAGGATCTGGGGCCTTATGTAGTTTTCCTGTGCAAGCAAAGAATGTACTGAGTGAAAACCTTCAGTGATTATGCAACTGCCCTGCTGTCATTTACAATGGGGAGCAGCACTAAACAATGGTAGTGCCCCACACCATACTTTTTTTTTACATTCATGCCAAATACATTTATTTGTATGCAACTGTAAAATATTCAGTCAGCTTCTGTTACAAAATTGTGTAAATACAGATTTTTAGAAAACCTGAAGTGGTGTTTGTATCTGTCTGGCCAGTAAGTTTTTTCTACTGTCTCTTATAAAGTATTGTCAAACACTGGCCTGCTAGAAGGAGTTATCAAATATCTCCTTTCCATCAAAACCAAAACAATTTTTTGATTTGTTGCTGCCCTCCTGTGACTGTTTCATGAAATCACACATACCTCATTTGCACAAATATATAACCAAAGTAAATCATTCTGCCTGAATACTCTTTGGTATCTTTACAAGTAATACCTAAGCTTTCCATAAGTAAAAGATTAGAGGGGGGGGAAAAGCTTTTGCTTTTATTTTGTTGACTTTATGTAGAGTCAGTTTCAGTCTTCCCCACATCATTAACCATCTATTTGTATTGCAGTAATGCCCAGAGGTCCCTTGTGCTAAGCACTGGACAAACATCGTGAGACAGTCCTTGCCACCAAATGCTTACCATCTAATAGGCAAAGGGTGGTGAAGGGAAACAGACCTAGACAGATGAAGTGACTTGCCAAAGGTCACACAGCAAGTCAGTGCTGAGATGAGCCAGAACCCAAGTCACCTGTCTTTGAGTTCAGTGTCCTCTCCAGTGGGCAATTATGCACCCCAGCTTAGGCCCCCACTCCTGCAAACCGCTCCAGGCAGGCAGACAGTGGAACCCCATTGACTCCAGTACCTGCATGAAGCAGTTTGCAGAAGTGGAGGCATAGTTAGTAAGTTCCCCCTTTCTTTGTGTGGAGCTTTCACCCAGTAACAGGGAAGAGAAAAGAATATCTAAGAGTACAGGAAACTTGGATTTACAAAACCCCCAAAATTGGCAGGGGAATTCAGACTTGTGTTTCTGAAACAACCTTTAATTCATATGTAGAGCAGAGGTTCTCAAACTGGGGGTTGAGACCCATCAGGGGGTTGCAACGTTATTTCGTGGGAGGTTGCAAGCGGTCTCTCTCTCACACACACACACCCTGCTTCACCTCCAGCATTTATAATAGTGTTAAATATTTTTAAAAAGTGTTTAATTTATAAAGGGGGAGGGGTGTCACGCTCAGAGGCTTGCTGTGTGAAAAGGGTCACTACTACAGAAGTTTGAGAACCACTGCTATAGATGTTACCCCTTTAAGCAAAGCTGAAAATGATAGTGACTAAAACTTGTGAATAAAAAAAATCTGACCATTGTTAAAAAACATCTGATCTGAACAGTTCTGGGACACCTTTGCCCAAAATAAGAGTGTTCCAATTTATTTTTATTTGCTAATGGAAGAAGAAAAATATTACATCTTAAATCCTTAAGGGGGTGGTGGGAATGGCTAGAATTGGGCTTACCATGATATTTTAAATCAAGTAGAAAAGTCACATGACCTCTTGGACAGCCATAGTTGAAAAGATAGTACTGTCTACTACTGCTCCCTGAGATTCCAGGATTGTTAGTGCTGTGCACCAAGTGCTTGGGCCTTTCCCACTATGAGCTCTGCCTTTAAGAGGTGGGGAGCGTTAGGGCTCAGGCGCACCTGTGCCAGACTTAGCTTACCTCCCCAGCTGGAGCAGATGAGTGACAAAGGATGAGCAGGCCTGCTGGAGGGAAAATAAGAACAGCCTGTGTCCCAGTAAAGTAGGGTAGCAAACAGAGGGACTCCCTGGGAGTCAGTAGTCCAGTATGAACTGGAGGGCTGTGAGCATTGGCAGAGTCCCTGGAAAGAAGGGTGAGGTTTCTGACTCGGGGGATGTGGGGGTGAACCAGTACAGTGAGCTCCTTGGCCCCCAACAGGGTAGCATGTGACTTGCATGTGGAGGGTAAAGTATGAGTTACAACTAAACCTAAGTGAAATTTTTCACACTAAACTTTTTTCCCCACTGAAAAATGCAGACTTGGATTGACTGAAACATTAGGTGAATGTGTTGATTTTTCTTTTTGACAGAAATTTGCCAAACTTTGGAAATGTCAAAATGGTTCATTTTATCATTCGTGCAACAAAACATCTTGATTTTTGAGGTTTGATTCCCAAGGAGATTTAGGCAGCAAGAAGGGACTTGAACCCTGGTTTTCCTTCTAGTCACCTGGTTATAGGGTATGCTGGGGAGGGTCTCTAAGCCCTGGTCTACACTACAGAATTACTTCTGTATCATTGTCACTCACAGATGTGAATAATCCACACCACTGAGCAATGTAGTTCTACTGACCTAAGTGCTGGTGTAGACAGCACTATGCGAGTGGGAGATCTACTCCTCCTAACTTAGCTACCCCCTCTCACAGAAGTGGATTAGTGAAGCCGACAGGAGCAGCTCTTTCTTGTCAGCTTCATCTTCATTAAAGCGCTACAGTGGCAGACCTGTGCCGATGCAGCATTTCAAGTGTAGACCTGCCTTCAGTCTTTACAATTGTTCCACTTTCTGTAAAATATTTGAATAGTCACTGGACCAGAGCAGGGATTTGAAGTTGGGTCTTCTATAGCCCAGGTGAATGCACTTACCACTGGGTAAGTGCTACCTACCACCTTCTCCTCTGCTGTTGTGAATCTAGCCCTTCGTTTCCTTCGCTTTTTATTAAAAAAACCAAAACAAAATGTTTTGTTGGACCTGAAACTATTTTTTTCTTCCTCTGATTTGCTGAAATGTTTGACCTAGAAATAAGAAATTGTTTTTTTCACTCAGCTCTAGTCAAAACTGCCACTGGCAAAGCTGTGCTGCCACAAGCACGTTACAGTCCCCCTGAACATGAATAGTGGAGTGGATAACATCTTTTGCAAGATGACTGGCAGAGATAAACTAAAGGGGGGGAAGCGAGAAATGATCCAGCAGTAACAATTAACCTTGAATTACTATTCAGCTTGGGAAGCGTCAAATTGATCCTATGCAAGAGTTCTCACTGAGGACTAATGGGAACAACCAGTTTGGCCTTTTTATAATAGCAGTTTTTGAATGGTGAAAAGATTTCAGACTTGCTACCCGGCTGGCACATACCCCAAAAGGCCTCCTCAGTCTTCAGACAAAGCATGAGGACTGTAAGACAAAGAGGAGGATTTATCGGTTTGTTTTGAGAAGGTAAGGTTAAAAATAAAGACGAAAGTCTCTGCTTTAAGCCTTCACTGTGAGGACAATATTCTAACTTGATAATCTTAGATTTTTTCCCCAAGAATTTTCTTAGGTTCTTTAGCTAGAATAAATTATTAAGGTGCTGGTGTAACCAATCTTGGTGAAAAAAGTTGAATTTCTCCTGTTAAAGAAATTCACATTTGGATGCAGTGCAATCTTTCATCACAGGATGGAGCCATCCTGCAAAGTCACAAAGGCAATCTATGAAGTCTTGTTTTTTTCTTTATATGCTAGAGTATTCCAATTGGAGAGCTTATCACTGGAAGGGAAAGTTTGCAGGAAGCAGAATCTTGTAATTAAGGAACAGGATTGAGGCTGTGTTTATATTGGGGCTTTTAGTCACTTGGTGTATAGCTATACCAATGCAATGCAAACTTCTAGTACTGACTTTTGCAATGCTGTACCTTAGCCTGGTTTCTGGTTACTGGTGTAGTGCATCTACGTGTGGGGTTTGCATTGCTGCTACATCAGTGGCTTAAAACCCCTGTATAAATAAGGCCCAAGTGTCAAGAGTTCCAGGTTGTGCTCCTGACTCTGCCACAGACTTGTTTGGTGACCTTCGTTGTTTGTTGTTCCTATTACAGAAGCACATAAAGGCGCCAACCAAAATAGTGGCTCTGTTGTGCTAGGAATTGTGCAAACATGTACTGTAGTATGAGAGATTCCTTGCCCCCAAAGAACTTACAAGCTAAATGGGCAAAGGCTGGGGGGGAAAAGGATGCAACATATAAGCAGTCATGGTGGGCAAACATGTTAGGGGTTTTTTTTAAAGCAACTGTCATCTGTAAAATGGAGATAACAGTACTTTCCCAGCTACCTCCCGGAATCATTAATCAATGTTTATAAAGTGGTTAGAGATCCTTACAAAGATGACACTATACAATTGTCTAGTATTATTTTGCCTGTTCACAAAGATGTTTTTTCTTAGTGGCAAAGAGAAGACAATGCACTAATCATTTAGATCCCTGAATATCAAATTGGTACAATAGCTTCACACTCATGTATGGGGACTACAGATGCCAGAGAAAATAAAGGGCTCCTTCAGAGCTTTCCTTATGAGTTAAAGTACTATACTATAAAGAAAGGGACATTTTAATAGATAGACTCTTGCATCATTCTTACTGAACCATTAAATGGCTAATGTGGCGATGGCTGTACTGGGCCTGTTTAATCTTTGAATATTATTCATTTCACTTGTAGGAGAAAGTTTGACTCAAGCGATGCAATAAGTGCCCTTGTACTTGATATATATTTCGTTCAGAGTGAGAACTGCAGATGTGTGTTTTCAGAAACCTTGAAAAGTTTACTTCTTCCCCTTATATTTTATATTAGAAATTCAGATCTCCCTATTTTTCAAAAAAATTCTGTGGATTACTGGAGAACTAAAGGACTAAAGAATTATTACAAAATTTCTGCCAGTGCTGGTGTTCCCCATTGTGCATAGAGGGAATCTCTCTCAAACCAGCACAACCTTTCAACATGGAAGAAATTCTTGTAACTGTGCCCAGTGTAGTAGATCTGGGTTAGACACACCAAGCAATTGAAACCTAGTTAACTGTAAAGGGGCAGTGATTT